TCCCTCGCAAATTCTAACATGTAATTTCCGGGGCCAGACATGAGCTCGCGAGCCTCAGCGGTTCCGATATCCTCAAACCGGATAATCGGGCACTCTGAGTAGTCGTTACGGACGGCCGGTTGATATGTAAAAAGGCACAAGATCAGATGGCGGATCAGTATGATCTTGTCCTCGACGGTCAACTCCTCTGGCTTTTTGTGAAGAATCTTGCGATTGACGTGCCGCTGCAGCTCCACTCTTCGCTCATTGATCTGATCCAAAGTTTTCCAATTTGATGCTTCACGCTCTGTCAACTGCTGGGGAGGCGGCTTTGCCTCATCCATGAGCTTTCGAACCTGAGTGTATCGCTTGTAATAAGCATCGTAGAGCTGTTTGTCATTGGGAAATGCTTTGCGCACGACAACCAAAATGGGATTTATTCCAGTGGCTTGCATTGATAGTTTGGTAGGATACGTCTCCTGAAAGTACTGGATGATTGCATCGGCACCTTGAATCCAACTGAAGCTATCAAAATCTTGTTGTCTTTTAAACCTCTGGAAGAGGCGCATGACATGCTTTATGTACTGTTGGATCGTGAGCTCTTTTCGAGTGCCGTCATCAAAGACCGAGCGGAGCAGCCTTTCACCATCGGTTACGGTGGTTATATGGCGTGTGCTTTTAGCGGGCCCTTGCATCTTCAGCTTATCTGGATAATGGCAAGATTTTTTTGACCAGACCAAAGCCTCCAACCTCAGATACTATGAATATCAACGTTGAGAATTGAATCAACCAAAGTGAGATCTGTAGCAGCTTTTAACGATGAAAACGGTTATCTTCACCTGTAAAACCGGGCTACAACGCAAGATGGCTGCTCAATTTTCGATCGAAAAGTTACTAACTCTAGATAACATGACTGGCGGTGTACAAAATTCAAAGATGGGGACTTTTGGCCGATTCATGTTATCTGGGCGACGTGATTTCAGAGGCTTCGTTAGCGATCCGAGCTTTCAGCGGGTTCGCAAGCATCTCGAGTGCCAAAACCGGTTCAGTGTCGTCCCACACAACGCTCGGAGCACGACCGGTGTGTGGCGGGGAGACCGCTCTTGGTTCCATGCAATTCGTGGGAGATAACACTTCTTTTTCATGCACGTCTGCATGGGTCGTAGAGATTTGCAACTTTCGTGCCCGACGTCGTGCTTGAGACGCGTGTTTTAGGGCGGCTCGCCAACTTACCTTTATTGCATATGGGCCATGCAAACCGGATTTGTCCCAAAAGGCGCTGAACCCCTCAGCGACTAGCGACCGCGCGAGCTGTCTGGTTATATGACGAAGGTCGAACGGCTCTGTAAGAGCTCGCATGCCGGCCAGAGCCGCTGCATCCAAGGTGGTCTCGAGCTTGCCAAAGTCTTGGTAAGATCTTACAATAGCTGATCGAGCGCTCTCAAGGACGGACTTGTCCATCTCGATGATTGCAAAGCGCGATTGAGGACGATAGCCAAGAATTGCATCCATTCACACGGTTGACATACCGTTTACAGAGAAAAATCACAAGATACTAGTGCACGCCACCGTTGATAGTGGAGTTCCTTATGACCAATGACAACGCGTGGTTCGTCACGGCTAGATGGCCGGTCTGACTTGCTGGACCACACGTGGCAAATAGCTCTACTTAGCAAAGAGTGGGGTTCCTAATATCCATTGGCAAGGTGTGGTCCGCAGTGAATGGCCGGCCTAACTTATGGGCGCCAGGACCACACCTTGCATGAGGCTCTTTCTAAGTGAAACGCGGTGTTCCTAATAACTATTGGCAAGGTGTGGTCCGAAAAACGGCCCAAACTGCTCGCCACATGCTTCTGGATGGTGTGAATGTCCGGCCTTACTTACGAATGCTTGAATATCGTATGGCCAGTCCACCTTTTCGGCCGCGGACCACACCTTGCCCACGGTTCTTCATAGCAAAAGAGCAAATTCTTAATGATTATTGACAACGTATGGTCCGACAACGGGGCCAAAACTGCTCGCCATGCACATGCTTTGACATGGCATAAAATGGTCGGCTTGGCTTATGAGCGAGTAGTTAAAACTTGCTTCATCATGAAGAACTCATGAAAAGTATTCTCATCATAAATTTGCAAGGGTGTGATGGAATTGGAGTAGCCACTTGCTTCGCACATCCAATCATTGCACGTCGACCATCGTTCAATTGAGCATAACAAAAGACAATAGGGCGCATTAAAAAGCCCGCATCGTCAATAACTCAATTCGCATGTGATTTCAAATTACGTACGATCAATTCTTCTTGCCCAGAATATCTCGGGGCTCAGGATGCCTACCGAACTACAATCTGACACCCTTCATCCTG